GAGAATCCAATGGATTTGAAAAATTCAATCCATATTTGAATCCGTTAATTTTTGATACCCGATATGAAAATTTGAACCGATCCGATTATCCAAAAGAACACATTTACACTAAAAATTTGACAATAAGAATTTTTGATAATGAAAGGAGAAAAAAATGAAAAAATTAAAGTAAAAATAGAGGGAAAATCAAACAAGAGAGGTGGGGGAGGGGGGAAGTAGGTCTTATATTGTGATATTCACTATATTTTACTTATTTTCTAGTATAGGTATAATATATATGTGATATTTATTTACATAATATATTTTTTATTCGGATCAAAATAATAAATAAATCGATATTATATAAATCAATATCTGAATCCGTTTAGTGAATTACAGCCATTTTAATGACAAATGAGTGGCGGGTTAAAAAGATTGTTGTGTTAACCTGATCCAACTCGATTTATTTATTAAATGAGTCATTTCTTGTAATTCACTTAAAAATGAATTATTTTCGATTTAAAATTTATATTCATTTATTTAAACGAGTCGTATACAAGTTACTATTTTTTTATATAAAACTGATTAGACTCGATTCGTAATCATTTTATCCGACACGATGGACATTTTTACGTATAAATAAGCCTCTTCATCAGGTCGGGGTAGGGCAGGCCAGGCCAGGTCCACCATGAGTAAAGAGTCAATGGCCGACCATGGTACTAGTCTGCGTCGATGTTCATCTGGCCAGTATTAATGGACCAGTTTTTTAAAATTTAACTTAGTGCAGTTTTTTAAAATCCCTTGAAAATTTCTGAGCCAATGAGTTGTATAAAGAGCAACCCAGTGAACCGCCTTCATGGGCTTTTGTCGGGATAGCCTAACAATCGTGAGGGGGCCAAACTCACTGTTATATCGTGGGCCATCATTTGGCAAGTCAGCCCGGTCCATATAAAAGTCCAATAAAGGAGTCCAAAACCCTCATCCAGGGACGATCTACAATGTGGCCAAACTACTCCCACTAAAATTTAAAAAAAAATTAAGATCTAGCTAAAATTTTGAAAATTTCAAAAATATCAGAATTTTGCCGCCATTGAAATTTTCATAAAGTATAGGATTAGTGAGTGTAATTTTCAAACATCAAAACATAACTTTGGTAGTCTTATTTTCCACACCCTTCGTCTTCGTCCAACTTCGACTCTCATTTCTTATCCTTTCTTCACCAGCTTCTCTTCTTTTCTTCCTTTACTATATTCATCAACAAATTGACATACTTGATTGTTAGCTCCCATCAAGTTCTCATTCCTCTTTTCAAATCTCAACAATGTTGGTCACAAGGTATTGTTTAGTCAAGCACCCACCATCTCAATCTTCCTAAAATAATATGTTACAAATCTACTCTATTATTGATTATTTGAGTGATTATTCTGATTCAAAGTTATGCAAATCAACCTATAAAATCCATAATGAGAGCCCTACAAGATTTTATGGGAGCTGTCTAGAAGTATACCAATAACCCATTAAAGAATTCTAAAGATTTTCAGATATTTTTTATATGTTGGAACGTGAGATTCATGACAAAATATAGTGATTTTTTTGTCAAACCATCGTTATCTATTAAGTGTTTGTTAAAATGCCACAGGTAAAAACTATTACAGAAACAATGATTGTGCATGAGCCATAAAAAAATTATGGACCACCCAAGATCAAAAGGGATGTAATTTTTAAATATTTTATTGAAACTACTGGAAATTAAAAAGAAATGGTTGGTCAATGTGTTGTTTTTTTTGGTAAGTACTAGTACTACTTTTTAAGCTAGCTTCATGATCCGCTATTAACTTAAGTCTGTGTAGTAGACTCATTGTAGCATTGCAATTCACATCAATGAAAATTGTTTGTTAACAAGTCAAGGATAAAGTATCGAATGATTAAAATTAGAGTATAATTAGAGCACTTAATAAGTTGTAAGTTTCTTCTACTACATAACCATCCTGGTTCCGCCCCCGCCCTCATCCAACCATTTCTTTCACACAGGGAATGTGCTTATTGACACTAGCAGTTTCATTGCCGGCCCTACGACCTCCATCTTGTGGGCACGACGTGAAAGAGGAAGATTGTGATAAACAGGCATCCTCATTGCAAGTTGGTGTTTTCTTCTGTGCTCTATACATCATTGCTCTAGGTACAGGTGGAACCAAGCCCAACATCTCAACCATGGGTGCAGACCAATTCGACGATTTTGAGCCCAAGGAAAAGGCCCATAAACTCTCATTCTTCAACTGGTGGATGTTCAGCATCTTCCTTGGCACCCTCTTCTCTAACACCTTCTTAATTTACATACAAGATAATGTGGGCTGGACCGTAGGTTATGCCCTTCCAGCAGTTGGGCTTGGACTGTCAATAGCAATGTTCATAGTCGGCTCACGCTACTACAGACACAAGCCCATGACGGAAAGTCCATTGACCCGGATGGCCAAGGTTCTTGTGGCCGCAGTTAGGAAATGGAATGTGGTTGTGCCCAATGACCCGAAAGAGCTTCATGAGCTGAGCTTGGATGAGTACTCCACCACTGGCAAGCTCCGAATCGACCACACACCCTCATTAAGGTTTGTCTCTCTAGCTTCATGAGCAATGGAATTGTATCTACATCCCCCTAATTATTTTCACTATGCCCCGGCAAAATGGCCCGAAGCCCGCCCATCCACTTGACGACACGTGGACAACTGATAAGACTATAAATTATTGGATTTTTTTTTTAGTCGGTACATTTTCTACCATTTATTTGACTTCAAGTGTAAATTTAAATTTTTTTTAACAAAAATGACACTTTAGAGCAGAATGACTGAATTACCTATAACATCATCACAGTTATTATTGAAAAATCAAATAAAGAAACCGATTAATTTGAAAATTAAAAATCTTAAATTTTAGAATTCTCAATTAATTTAAAAACTAAAACTCTTAAATTTTAAAATTCTCTCTCTCTCTCTCTCTCTCTATATATATATATATATATATATATATATATATATATATATAATAAATCAGCTAGCAAATTGAATGTTATCCCCTATATATTTTTTCTCCCAAAAAATATCACATCACCTAATTATATCACATGTTTAATTATTTAATATTTAATTAATTTATACTTTAACACAATTTTTATTTCATATATTATTCATGCACAATAATATACACATGTTAAAAAATTATATCGAGTTATGTATTTTAAAAAAAATTGACTTTATTTTTAATAAAATAATAGGTAATTTTAAATGATGAGCAAAGAAATTAATTTTAAATTTAATATAGTGGAATCAATTTTTTGAACGCTAGAATTTTATATTTCATAGTGTGGGTTATGACTAATATATATATACAACTCGTCAGCCTGATGAGATTAAAAACAAAATATTGAAGCCCAAAAATAAATAAATAAATTTTTTAATGGATTTTTTGTGGTTGGTCCAATGACACTCCTTAAAGGCCCATTAAAGCTAGCCATGGGCAGTAAAATATTAGGACGGCGTGTGCCCTTGACCAGGCCATTGAGAAAATATTTGTGGTATGAACGACGAATAATAAAATACCAAATGAGTAAGATAGTTATTGGATTGATTATTATTTTTTATAGAATTTATTTATTTATTTATTTTAATATAATTGGTCAGTGATATAACTTGTCCTCGCGTGGCCCACTACTGAACCTTAATTTTGACCCATTCACATTTCTAAAAAGCTAACCATTGCATTGCCCACAGGCTCCTAGACAAAGCAGCTGTAGATAGCGGCGGGCCAAGGTCAGAATGGACGCTATGTCCAGTGACCCAAGTTGAAGAAACCAAGCAGATGATAAAAATGATACCAATCTTGATAGCAACCTTCATACCTAGCACCATGGTAGCACAGGTTAACACCCTCTTCATCAAGCAAGGCACCACATTGCACCGAAGCATCGGCCCGCACTTCGAGATTCCTCCGGCCTGTCTCCAAGCATTTGTGACAATCTTCATGCTCACCAGCATTGTCATCTACGATAGGTTCTTCGTTCCGTTCATTCGTGGATACACCAAAAATCCCAGAGGAATCACACTGCTACAAAGAATGGGAATTGGCCTTGTGTTACATGTCATCATAATGCTTATTGCTTGCTTTGCAGAAAGAAAAAGACTAAGTGTTGCAAAAGAACATGGAATTTTTGGGAAAAAACAAGTAGTTCCTCTCTCTATTTTCATTCTTCTCCCTCAATTTGCTCTCATGGGTGTGGCTGATAACTTCTTAGAAGTTGCAAAACTCGAGTTTTTCTACGATCAAGCGCCCGAAGGAATGAAGAGTTTGGGCACTGCCTATTTCACAACCAGTTTGGGAGTTGGTTTTTTTCTCAGCAGTTTTTTTCTGTCAACTGTGGCTGATATCACCCAGAGGAATGGTCACAGAGGGTGGATTTTGGATAATTTGAATCTCTCTCATTTGGACTATTACTATGTTTTTTTTGCTATCTTGAGCTTTATCAACTTCCTCTTTTTTCTGGTTGTGGCAAAGTTGTTTGTTTATAACACAGACATGGAGGAGTCCAATACGGAGATACAGGAAGCTATGGAGGCTTTGCCTAAGAAAGTTAGCTACTAGATGATAATGCCTTGACAATTAGCTGAGCTCATAGTTATAATACTTGTAACTTCCTTTGCTTCTTGAAATATTGATCATATACGAGCTGGTCATCCCATCCACTCTTCAAAAGGTTAAGTTCTTTTGGAGGTGGTATTTAGACTTAAACTTATTGGTCTTTTTGAATTCTTGTGATAGTAATATAATGTTGTATAAAAATATTTATGTATCCCCTTGTCTATAATCAAAAAAATATTCAAGCGGGTCAAATTGTTATGTTTGTGAAGTTTATGATCTTTGTTGAGTCTATATATTCAAAATCATACCATCTATTATAACTAGATTATGTTGCCATCACATTGCTTGGTTCTACTTCTCCCAATAAAATTTTAATTTAATAATATATCCTATTATTTAGAGATATTAAAATATAACACGATTCGATAATATTACACAATTATAATATAAAATCTAGTGTGTGAGTATTTTATAAGCCGAAATGACTTCATTAATAATTGAATCATATATATGTAAAATCAATCAAAAAAATAGAAAAAAATTACCAATTAGTATTATTTTTTACCACAAAAATTCATCAAGTCTTATCAATTTTATTTTATATCAATGAAGTCCTATTCTTAATAGTTTATTTCAATTAAGTCCTAAATTTTATTATATTTTAATTTTATCCTTACCCTTTAATTAATAAAACGTTTTCATTTTTTTGCATTCTTAGAACCAATTAAGAGGACAAAAATTTCTTACTTATAAAACTAACATTAAAACCCCATAAATATAACAAAAAAAATAAAAATTAGCTAACATAAATTGCATGGCAAGATTCATGGAAAAGCCCACATTTTCTTATTTTTTTATCTCATTGGAGTACTCAATTTTAAAATCTAAGACAATATTTGTCGATTATTTAATAAAATAAAAAAAGTTTAACAAAAATTACATCGATAATATTTATTAATTAATTCCACTTTAATATCGTTATCGATTCAAACACAACAATTAAAATAAATTCTTAACTTAATCATTTTTAGTCCAATATAAATGAATAGAATAATTTAAACCCAATGAGATAATGTATTAATAGAATCTACAATACAATAATATTATCTTAATCGAAGTAAGAATTAACTTGATGTAATAAGAGAACGCATCACATAGCAATTGAAATATCCTAGGGGTGTGCTGCCGAAATTGACATATCAGAAAGAATGCCAAGTCACATAGCAATTGAAATGCTTTGAGTTTGTATTGTTGTGTTGACCTAAGAATACAAAAAAAATAAAAGTATTTTGGTAACTAAGGGTAAAAATACAATTGAAATATAATTGAATTAGGACTTAATTAAAATAATATTAAAAATAGGACTTCATTAATATAAAACAAAAATGATAAGATTTAATAAATATTTTGTAGTGAAAAATAATACTTATTAATAATTTTCTCAAAAAATAAAATTATTTATTAAATACGAATTAATAAATAAATTAAATATAAATAACCATATCAGGTCAGACCCACCGTCAATTCAAGAAATTAGTTCCGATTAGTATCTCGATTTAAAGTAGAGATAATGAGATATGAATACTTTTTACAAAATTTATTTGGCTTTAAGTACTATCTCTAAACTTATCTTTTTTTAAGTCCTATTTTTCATCAAATAATTGTCAATAAGTACACATTTTAAAACATTTTCAAATTCTTTTTGAAATGTATTCCATAATTACTCCTACCATAAATAGTACATACCTAATTGACAACTTTTATATTTTCAATACCTAAATATTAGAATGTGAGATTTTCAAGATTCCTTTTGATATTTGTGTTTTTTTTTAATTTTGAAATTTCATACACACACACACATATATGTAGTACTATTAACTAATAACACTCAATAAAAAATAGTAACATCAAACAATAACACGCTCAAAAAAAAATAGTAACATCAAACAGTAACACGTTCAACAAAAAAATAGTAACATCAAACAGTAACATATTCAATAAAAAATTTAATTTAAAATTTAATCATTGCAATAGAGTGAAACCATATGCAAGTATTTATTCTGTTATGAGGGTGTCACTCTATTACAACGATTAAATATTTGTTGAGCATGTTACTGTTTGATATTATTATTTTTTTATTGAGCATTTTACTATTTTTTTGCTAAGCATGTTGTTATTTTGATGTTATTATTTTTTTTTTGTTGAATATGTTACTGTTTAATGTTAATATTTTTTTTGTTGAGCGTGTTACTGTTTATTATTTACTATTTTTTATGTTGAGTGTGTTACTATTTGATGTTATTATTTTTATGTTGAGCGTGTTAATGTTTAATATTAGTGTGTATATATATATATATTATTTGATGGTGAGGATTGAAATTACAAAATCTTTGGAATTCAAAAAGTTTTAGGAAAGGTTTGGTTTTGGAAATTGTCACGACTCTTTGGTACTATTGATTTCCAAAATTAGAGGTCTCTTCATCTTCCTCGTCTAAAAGGGTTTTTATGACCTTTTTTTAGCAGATGTATTTCTATTCCATATATTTTAAAATGTGTACTTTTGTCGTATTAAGTTTTTAGATAGATACCGGTCTCCCTAAGACCCGCACTGTTATATAACCCAAATCTATAACTTAAATTTGCATCTCAAATAAAGGGACCATTGGATCAACAAGTCTTGTTTAAAAAAGAGAAATACTATGTAATCCAAATTTGCAATCCAAATTTACATCCCAAATGAATGAGAATTATTGGATGAGTAAGTTCCATCAACTTTTTTAAATGAGACCCACTAATTTAATGGTTCTCCTTTATTTTGGATACAAATTTAGGTTATATACCATTGCTCTTAAAAAAATTGATAGAATTCACTCATTCAATTGTCTCTTCATTTGGGAAGAAACTTTAGATCGCAAATTTGAAGGTATGTTTGGATAGTGGGATAAGGTGGGTTAACTCCTATAAGAATTGGTTATTAATGCAATAGGTCCCATATATCTTTTGTTTGAGAAGCCAAAATTGAGCCAGGATATAAATCCCGGGTCAAACATTGACCCGGTTGCTACAGTTAGATGGGTTAAAATTAACCTACCCCCACCCTGGGATTCAATCTTAGCCAACAGGTTTTTTATAAATAATGACATATTTACCCCTCTTCTATCTCGTGTAATGTTCCATTCTCTTTCTTCTACATCTGGGTTGAGAACTTTGTGAAGGTGGTGAAGAAGACCAGGAGGTAAAGCATCTGGGTCTCTCTTTCTCTTTGCTTGACTGGAGTACTATTACGACAATGGGGTGGGGTTGGGCACTGGTGGTAAAACAAAATCAGTGCAATTTGTTTTTGAATTCATCCCTAATTTGCAAAAAAATTAAAAACAAACAACACCTAAGTGCAATTTATTTTTGCTTCTGGTTGTTCTTCAATAGTCATGCATGAGAGAGAGAAAGGAGGAGGAGAGAGTGAGACAGAGCCGAGGGAAAGATATGAGATAAAGGAGTTGCTTTTGGCTCATTTGTGAATTGAAGGGAGGAGAAAAAAGGGTCTTAGAGTAGAGAGGGGAAGTTGAAGACCGCCTACTTTTGGACGAAGAAGATTGCCTGCTTTTAGATGAAGAAGACTGCCTACTTTGAGATTCACAGAGGAGAGAAAGGAGTCTAAAGGATAAAATGGTTAAAATAATTTAAATAATATTTTTGACATATTCATAACCATAGAGCCTACAAAAGTGAAAAACTACTTACCAAACAACGGGTAGAGCATGATATGTCATTATATCCAAACTAATACAAGTAAAAGGTGGGTTAGGCATGGATGAAAATGGATATAAATTTGAGGGGTGTTTGTTTCGCAGGATAAAGGGGGATTAAAGGGGGGATTGGGTTAAAGTTGTCAATAGGGCCCACTTATCCTTACTTTGGCTATGTAAAGTTGGGTGGGATTTTCGTTGCAATTGAAAAACTCGGTCGTAGCTTTTGCACCCCAATATCCCCTCTAAGCTAGACTATTGAAACCCATGAAAACTTTGGGATTAACAAGCTCTCACTGAGATTGGTCCTGAAATTACTAAAACAACCCTCAACGATAATTTTTTAGGTTTTATCTACCGTCTCTTGTCACTTTCCTCTATCCCAAGCTACACAGACAACACCTCCACCAGCGACCAAGCACCACCAGCAACAGTAACCAAGCACCACCAGCGCCCCACCCTTTTTCTATCTGCCTCTCCATTGCAACGCCACCACGAACAGCACCACAAGCATCGGTGTCATTTGCTCTCGCTTGGCTCTCTTTCTCCTTCTCTCATCACTTTCCTCTCTCCTTCCCTACATAAATCCACCATCATCAGCGACCAAGCACCACCAGCGCCCCACCCCTTTTTTATCTGTCTCTCCACTGCAACACCACCGTCATCGCAAACATCACTTGCGCCATCTCCAACACCAGTAAACCCCCCTCTCTCTCTCTCTATATCAGCTATTCTTCCCCTCACATTCCTCTCCTTTATCTCTATTAAATGCACACACACAAAAACCCCAAATCCAAATCCCCCCTAACTATCTATTTTCCCTGCCCAAACCCCCTCAATTTCCTCCCCCCCAAAAGGTCAACCCACCATAGGCATTGATCACCATATCATACATAGATCCACCATTCTCTGTCATAGTGAACGTAGTGTTTGTCAAATACTTGTGGATTGTTAAAGCACAAGAACAGTTCTTCGAATAAAAACATAGCCTCTGTCACTACCCTCGATGGTTATATCTTCGGGTAAGACATCAAACATGTTTTGAAGTACAGATAGGGTCTGGTTTGAATTGGGTTTGAAGCCCAAGAATGATGTACACAATCAAGTGATGTCCGTTTAATTCAAAGGAGTTAGGTATGAAGAACAGAGGGTAAGCAATACATGAAATATGAATAGTAGAAACGGAGTGAAGAGATGGGTCTATGCAAGATTCATTGTTTGATGAAAATATTGAATCTTTGCTAAATTTGATGGAATATGATTTGCTCTACATAGTCAGAAAAAGAATGGTAGTGGAATTTGGAGAAAGATTGAGAAACAGAGGGACATGGATGTAATGATAGTTTTGAGAGTGGGATGAATTGAAAAAGGGGTTTAGAAGATCAGCAAATTTGAGTGGGGGTATTTGGAGGAGGAAGAGGATGAGGTATTTGGATTTTGGAAGACCAGCTCCGGTTCTGTTTTTGGTTGTTTTAACTGGGCAATTCATATGTTTTTTTGTGATAAATTGTGTTGTATAAAATTCAATTAAAAATTTTAAAAATAATTTTTTGGCTTTGTTTTGTTAAAAAACATAATTTATTAAATTAAAATTTTATTCAAAACTAATTACCTAATCATTCTCAGTTTGGATTGACATTATATCAATTTAAAGTTGGTATAAAATTAGATTAAATTTTTTACCAAGGGTGCAATAGTCATTTCACCATCTTTTCTCTACACCTGTAAATGGGCCAACAAAACAAATATTTTTCATCCAAAAGTGAGATAGGATGAGATTCTATTTATTAGGATTGAATCAACTTGGATTATTTTACATTGGGATGGATTGGATTCGGATTAAATCCAATCCAACCCAATACCCCATGGGTAACCAAACACCCCCTGATATCCAATCCGATGCTTTCCGAACATCCAAACACTCCCATAGTGCTTCCCCTCGATTTATCGCCTCAAAACCCTATCAAAACCTTGCTCGTCTTACTCAACCCTTCGTTCCATCTTCACAAAACAATGGCAGCAACCATAGCCCGATCAATCCTGACCGTCCGTTCAGCGTCATCGTCCTACTCCTTCCTCTCCAAACGCCTTCTCTCTTCCACTTCCACCATTGCCAAACCCCCACCCCTCCCGGGCTTCGCCCGAACCACCACCGTCACCCGTTCCACGGTCTCACTCTCTAACTTGCTCCGATTCGCCCATCCCTGCGCGGTTCGATTGAACCCCGTTCGATGCAGAGTGAACCGGTCTGGTGGGTCGACTTATTCGCCGATCAACTCTTCCTCCAACTTCGGTGAACGCCCACCCACCGAGTTGGCTCCGTTGTTTCCAGGTTGTGACTACGAGCACTGGCTTATTGTCATGGATAAGCCTGGTGGTGAAGGTGCTACGAAGCAGCAGATGATCGATTGCTACATTCAAACCCTAGCTAAGATAGTTGGAAGGTAGATCGAAACTTTACCCACGGAAAATAGGGTATTTATTTTTCAGATTTGTGTATATTTGTATGTGTATTTCGTTATTCCTGTTTCGGCATTGAGTGGTTACCCTGGACCTAATGCGCATATTAATGTGTGTGTATGAGTGAGAGGTAGAGAAATGTGGGGTTGGGGGTAGAGTCTGTTGAAGTGTAAATACGAAAAGCTCCAATTGCTTGGTATTTGAGCAGGAACTCCTGTGTCGAATCACGCAATTACCCTAATTATTAAAAGATTTTCACGTTCTTGATTCAAAATCTAGCTCAGGGGCGTTAGACTTTTGCATGTTGTGAAGTTCAGGGTTTATGCATACTACATTAAAAATAGGTTTTTGCTTTGTCTCTCTTAGTAAGCGTACGATTAGACAAACTCAGGATATGCGATCCCAGGATTGATATTACTTATTTTGTTTTCATTCACAGTGCCTCTGAATCCATCCGACTATCTTCAGTTGTGGTATTCATCTTTAAAGAAAAAATGGAGATACTTTTGATATATGTAACAAAAAAGTAACAAACTACTATCCACGATATTGTACATCTTTCCCATCTCTTCTCAAGAAACAAATCTCAAGAAACAAGTGGTTTGATGTCCAATGAAATGATTTTTTTTTTTTGGCTTTTCAAGGTTTGCAATTAAACTTGGGTCATATATGAGCCAGTATTTTGGCTTATTATGGATGTATGTGATTAATGAGCCGCACACATCCATAATAAGTCAAAGAATAATTTCATATGTTTCCTGATCTCGGTCAAGGGATAGAGATCATTGTTTGGACTTTGGAGACTTGGAATTGAGGAAAAAATAGGTAAAGCGCTAATCTTCTCGAATTCCATTTGTAATGCCCAATTTCATGCTCACAAATGCTAGTAAGGGGAAACTGAAATGATTTCACTTCGGCATTGGAAAACGTCCTAATAGAATTCCTAGCATTCTGTTTTCTAAATGACGCGAATTGTTATATGAATTATTTGAATGCCTAACTTCATAGTTTTTGATGTGTGGAAGATTTTGTGGTTTATTTTTCGGTAGTTTTATAATGGGGGTAAGAATTCTGAGATTATTAGTAATGCTATTTTGGTGGCTGTGATATATCAGTGAAGAGGAAGCAAAGAAGAAGATTTACAATGTTTCTTGCGAGAGGTACTTCGGGTTTGGATGCGAGATTGACGAGGAAACTTCAAATAAGCTTGAAGGTTTGTGTTAGTTCCATATTGATATTTATTTAGTAGATATATACAATGGGATTACTTTTGTTTTGAATTGCAGATTATTACCATCGTTTTACAGGTTTGCCTGGAGTTCTTTTTGTACTTCCTGATTCTTATGTCGATGCTGAGAACAAGGATTATGGAGGTTAGTCTTCTATAAAATTAAAGGAGTATGTTAATAGATTCTAACGGTGCTTAACCAAGAGTTTTGGACTATCTGGCATTGTCTATCATTAGATGACTGCATTTCATTTTATTGCTGTTTTCTTTCGGTGTTCTGCCTATTTGTGTTACCATGCATTAAGTTAATTCTGATGGTTAAGATGGAATAGCAATGCCTTGTTTATATTTAATATTGCGAAGGTGTACTCAAAGTTGAAAATAAAAGGCTTTTATGCAATGTTTACTTGAGTAGTTAATATCCGTTTCTGTTAAGGACTTCTTGAGGCACAAAGGTTGAGGAGCAGATTGAAGCGTTTTTTTTTTCCTTCTGGGATTCTTCAAATCATAGAGATTAAACATGATGCTCTGCATGACTTTTTCCTTGTGGACAAAACTATAGCAAGGACCTCCAAAGGATAGACAAGAATGTTTAGAGCCAACTTCAAAAAGTTGTAGATCTTGGATCGCATTGTGGGATCACATGGACTTCAATTTGAGCCTGCCTAGTGCGTGGCCCTTCTTTGGTGAGTCTATGTGTAGATCTTGAATTCGAGTTTCATTGTGGGATCACACAGACTTCAGCTTGGCCCTGCCTATTGCATGGCCCTTGTTGGGTGAGTCTATGTCTTTGGGAAATAGTCATCTACTCCAAATGTCCAAAAACCCTCATCTAGACCTCGTACCTTGCTGAAGACAAATGATAAGCTTCTCACGTGAGTCTTGGCTTTTTCGTTTGACATGCAGTAAAGAGATTTTTTTTCTTCAGAAAATCAATTACAGATTATTAATCAAATATGTAATCTTGAAGATTTTTAAGGAGGGGAATTGTTCTAGTGTTCACCCACAAAGGAGAAGATAATATACAAATTGAAAATGCAAAAAGATCAGAAATGCATTGGAGGGGAATTGTTCTAGTGTTCATCATGTTTATTTGCAGTTGTTTAAACCATATTGATTTTCCATTAACAAATATTTGTCTACGCTTTGAATATGGATGTAATTGTGGGCAGACGTAAGCAAGCGTTATTTCATTTATGGCAGCTCTGCACCTAATATTCACCTTCCCTCCAAGTTAAAGAAACACTTGAATGATTCTGATCATCTTTGCTCTCATGATTTGCCAGCTGAGCTGTTTGTGAATGGAGAGATAGTTCAAAGGTCTCCTGAAAGACAAAGGAGAGTGGAGCCAGTGCCCCAGCAACATCGAGACAGGCCAAGATACAATGACCGAACCCGCTATGCCAGGCGCCGTGAGAATATGCGGTGAACCAGAAACCCCACTCGAGTGAAGATATTGACTGTCAGCTAGATAATTAGGATGAAAAGCTTCGTTATGATGTGGTTGTATCTATATTATCATGTTGATGTTAGAGTGTGCTTGGTGTTTATTGGACAATAGCTGAATGAACTTGAACTTTCTCAATATCAGGCACTTCTGGGCCATTGTGAATCTGTGATAGTTCTTGATCTGTAAAACTCATGGCTGGCATTTCTTGTCCGGTCTGTTACCTTGAACACACACATATGTGCCTTTAACACGCTCCCTTGGGATGTGAACCTCGTGCTCGGGCAGGGGTGTTGATTGGGCCCCACCATGGCCTTGACAATTAGGGGTACAATTTGGACGGATTGGACAGATAACTTTAGGTATATAATCTTCATCTTTATTCTTAATCCTAACTCAACCTGAGCATTGTTTGAGCTTAATTCGAGCGAACTTGGGTTAAATTCGGGTTAATAACTTCAAGTTACTTTACGGGTTTAATTTGGGTTGAGCTTAAAATAGACTTGTTGTTTTAAATCTAATAAATATATTACATAATATTTACCTAAATTAACAACTAACAATTTCAATCACGTTTTTAACATAAAAATTATAATATTAAGAACTCAATATTTGAGATAATGTAATTATAACCATACATAACACAAATAAACACAACCGGAATCCTTGTACAAACATATAGTTTACTGCTTAAATAGTGAGTGAAAGAGGCGCACAATGAAAATTTCAAAATAGATTAACCCTAGATTTAAAAATGTATTTATATGATTGTGAATATTCAGGTTTAATCCGGTAATTCGAGGGGTCAACACGAGGCCCGCTCAAATTGAATTTGGGTTGAAATTTTTTGATCTAAACTTAACCCAAGAATTAAAAAACCTAACCCAAACCGTAATCTTTTCAGATTGGACTCGAGATGAAATCGGGTTAATCCGTCCAAATTGCACCCCTATTGACAATTCCCGAAACATGTACCATGTAAATGGGAAACACAAAAAAGGCGTTTGGATCGCCATGGGTGAATTAGGTTGAATTAGATTTGAATTCGAATCCAATCCAACCCAATGTAAAGTAGTCCAGTTGGAATCAATTATAATGTAAAGTATTTCATTATATCCCATCTTTGGATGAAAACCATTTGGTTTGTGAGTTTTAGTCAGCATGTGAGGATGGAAGACACTAAAATGATCATTGCACTATTTTGTAAATAAATATAATCTAATCCAATACTAACTTTGGATTGAAATGATGTCAATCAAATTCAATAATATTGTCTAAGTTTTGAAAAAAAAATTAATTCAATAAATTATGATTTTTAACGACACATAGCCAAAAATATGTTTATAATGTTTTTTAATTGTATTATGTACAATACACAATTCATCAGAAAATTATATGCATCATGCATCAAAAGTAAATGTTTAACACAAAAAATACTACTTATAAATAAATAAAAAAAAGCATAATGATAAGAGATTAGGTCCCTGTTATACATACGTTTTATACATTGTCTACAAATTGCATATTTGAAGACCCTCCACAACAAAATAAGACAATATGATTAATGTTTTTAATATGACATAAATACATATATATGCCTTGTACGACGAGCATACAAAATACAGGCAATACAAAATGTGATTATACATCAGTTTGTTCCACAAGTATAGTTATATATATACCAAAATGACTTGTGGATATTATCGTGAGTTCTGTACGAGTTAGGGATAATTGCAACAAATCAATCATCAATGATTATAACATCGAATTTTGCTCTAGAGTTAACTGATTGGGACGATCCTACACTTTTTGAAGGTTGGGTGCTTGATAAAAGAACATCATTTTTGAAAATAACTTCAAAAGTTTGATAGTTGGGATAGGAATGTAGACAATACTCCGCAACAAATTCTACTTCCTGCATTACGTAGTCAATAAAACTATAAAAATAAAATGTTTGATAGTCAAAGGAAACCAAAAAAAAAAGATATGTACTTTCGATTGAAATTAATGAAGTACACTTACTTCCAAATATTCGTCTGATCCCTCCACCAAACCTTATATCATACATTTGGTTCGATTATCCCATGCAAATTTGCCCATCTCCAACATCTCAGCAATGGTGAAATATTGTCGTTCCCAAAAACATATTATCCGTAAAAGCTCGTTCAATGAGAGGCTAAATCGAGGCATACTCCTATGTAGGACATCTAACATTCAATCAATCGTCTTCTTGTCATGCCTCTCGTATGGAGGTAACAAGTTGTGATTTTTGTAGTCAATCAAAGTGTCTAGAACTTTTGTTTCATCATCATTGATGTTTGGTATCTTCATGCCTAAGTAACAAAATAACAACTTCATATTAGCTGCAAAATCCAATCATTAGATTTATCAACGCATGTATTGCTAAAAATGGTAAATTAAAACACACATGTAATTTCATTCTACCCAGATTGACAAGCATCAATTCTACATTACAAATCACTTACATACCTACATATTTATCTATTTTCTCATTTCTAACTAGTGATTAAAAATGGCATAAGTGCACAGATAACATAAGCATAGCATTACAAAAAGGTCAACATTCATCCAACTCTACCAACTAGTAGTACATAACATGGGTGAGTATTACACTCAAAATCAACATCATTACACTTATCATGCACCACATAATATCTCGTTGATATCCATATCTTTGTACGACGATAAGGAGTTGTACATCATCTTCCATTGCATTTTCTTCATTAATATTGTGTAATGTTGCATTTTCCCCCACTGCAACATCATCACCAACAAATAAGACACTCCGCTTATGAACGGCACTCCGCTTATGAATGGTAAATTTCTACCTATTGGCCAACAAATAAGACATATCACCGTTCGCGCCTGTGCATTGCTACAGACATTGTAAAATTGCGTGTTAATGACCAAAAGTGAAAAACATGATATGCATGGGAGCCTAGAAATATCATATTTCACAACCAAGAATTACATGTGATGAAGCATACAAATCATTAAATAAGTGCCCTAAAAATGCTTACATCCAAAATGTAATTGTGCATGTTATAGTCATGCACAATTGACATCCAAAAAATGTAAGCACAACCAACATATGGGCCTGTTACCTAAATGTGTCCTTACAACATAATTATACTACGTAATACAAGTTCAACACAAAATATTAGGTGAGTGTTTTAAGTGGTTCGTCATGTGATACACTGCCATCTCGATCAAGTACGCAGTGTGTTCCACAAAATTCCTCCAACCCAAGTAGAACGCTAGTACTCAGGCAAGCTGAAGAAGATATCAACATTGATAGGGTCAGAACAAATAAGCTCAAGGGCAGCATGTCGATTTACCATAGACAGACCATTTATCTTCTATAGTTCGGTGTTGACTTTTCTCCGTGCAACAACGACATTATGATTATACCCAACACGATGTGCTATCATGTCTAGTTGATTACAACAATCATGCACGTACTCACCAAACACCTTTGAGATGTCAGTCAAACTCTTAGCGACTGACTCGGACACAGTACCACTCACCTTTACTTTTTTTTTTTCCTTACTTGTTGAGGGAGTTCCAACACTAGGTTCAACACCACAGTTTGTCCAATTGGATTTGTTGCGCTATGTGAGGCAGGGACATCATCGCCAAAATGATCTGGTCCAACTATATTATCTGCTTCACGCATTGAAGCTTCCACCTCAGCATCACCGACCATGTCTTTCAAATCTATAACATACTTTCCTGTGGTCCAATCCTTACTAAAGATCACTCACCAATCGTTGAAGTAAGGCGACGACTTCTCACGCATGCCCTTAGTGTTTCTATCCTTCTACATAATTACACATTTAGTCTTTAAATTTCACAACATATAGAATCACAACTTGAAATAATATAAAATATTTGTACTATATCGCCTTTAAATAGACATTCCAGATGTCATCACCATCAACAACAAATCTTATTCTTGGTTGAATTAAAACCAAATCCGAACGTGGCCATCATGGTGAATAATGAGTTGTAGTTTTTTTCTTTTTTCCAAATCTTCAGTTTAGACTCAATGTGTGGGGACGCCACAATTCACACATAGGAACTGCAGTTCACAAACTATGTTCCAATGCTTGAAGGTATCCTGAACTGAAAGTGCCGTTTTGACACTTCCAACCATTCAGGTAAAGGTCCTTCGGGAGCGAAATGAGGTAAATTTCTTTAACTTTGGCCCATGTCCTTCTTATACCCTTCTTGTCTAGGTACTTCTACCTAGCTTAGACATACTACGCCGCACGAACATAATGGTAAAGCCAATAATTTGAGCAAATACGGGTACGTACAAACAAAGTAGCATCATATAAACGATGAAGACATGGAAAGTAGTCTATGTTGAAAGTAAGGAAAATTTGTGATAATACAATCAAACTGCAAAATTATACATAGTTAAACCATTCACTTAAATGTTAGGTTTTCCTCAAGACATTCTCCACTCGTTGTACACATCCAATGCTAATTGATTTCGAAACAATGACCATTCGACATATGTCTCCACAGTGTCTACGACGTCATTCTCATATTCACCCTTCGCATGAATTACCTCAGGCAACTCTTCCTTAATTGGGTCTACACTCATTTCATTTATGATCAGGTTATGAAACAAATAACACGCAGCTATAATGCGATTATGCGTGTGAACTGGGTAGTAGCACGGTATCTTAAGTATTACCCATCTATTTTTTAACAAGGCAAAACATCTCTCAATGTATGTCCTTACAGCTGAATGCCTAAGGTTGAACAATTCTTTGGCATTACGGGGAGCTGCCGCATCAGCTCCAAATTCTTGTATATGATATCTTTGACCCTAAATAGTGCTAAAAATCTCTCCCCATTAGTGTAACCAACATCAACTAGATAATAGGTCTGTGTGTTGTATAAAGTATGTTTATTAATCTAACACGTGTATAAAAATTCAATAATTTTTT